CAGGGACGTTTTTTCGGAAAAAGCAAGGACTTTGCCGCGGCCGGGGGTCGAACCCGGCCCCCTGTTCGGGAGGCGCGGATGGATACCAGTCAGCCACAGCTACAACCTGGCTCGGGAGCGAGGGGCGCCCGACGCCGCAAAGGAGGGGAATGGCCTGTCACAGTACGGGCAGGCAGTGCGCGCGGTCCCTACGTCCATAGGGTGTACACGTTGGGACGAGTCCACGGCCCCTCCCTGAACGTGCGCTTTAAAATTCGAAAATTCTGCTTTTTTGGTAATTCTCAAACATCTTGACCAATCCCTAGTTTTTTTACCCGCTTTTTTATCTAAAAACGGGGGAAATTTTAAAATTCGAAAATTCAATTTTTTAACTTTTTTTTTGAAGCTAGAGGGCTTTGTCTTAATCTGAATAAAATAATCAGAGCTAGATACCAAAATCTACCGATCATTTTGGTAGAACTAACACCCCTGCAGCCCGAAAGCGAAAGCCTCCAGACCACCGTAATTTGGGGCCTGGACCTTCAGCCGCCTACCTTCACGAAAACATGGAGGAGATACATGTGGACGTAGAGGTACTGTTCAATTGTCTGCTGGGAGTTGGCGCGATGATTGCGGAAGCTCTCTCATCAGGGTTTCGATTTCTCGCACCGCATACCCGGCGCCGATCGTCTCCAGCGAGCTCTAGATCAACACTACGGCCCCAGTTCGGCCGATTCCCCGCCAGGAACAATGGACGACGATCGAGCTGCCTAGAATGCGGTCCGTACTAGTTGAACGGGGGAAACTAACTTCCTCGAAGCTCTAATAGGCTATTTTACACCTGAATTTTTGTCGGCAATCGGCCAATTTTGGGGTCGAAGAATTTAGTGTTTTTTTGTTGGGTTCTAAACTCAAATTTTTTAAATTGGGAATTTTTCATGTTTAAACGGATATAAGCTTATGTGTAAGATAAAACGGACGTGGAAGTGCAGATCTTCTGAAGCAGCTCCATGAGACCCATGTCGACTGGCGGCACACCACGGTCTGGCCAGTCAACCCAGTGATAATGGGTGAGTTCATGCACCTTGATCCCATCCTGCTCCACCTCCAGCGTTGATGTGTTGACGATTGCGGGTGTTTGGCAGTTCCAGATCAACTAAAGCACTTGAGCATGTGTTTTTAATAATACAAAAAACTATATTTTAAGTAGAAAACTAACTAAAAATTTTCAAAAAGTCGATATTTTGTCCAAAAACGGCCATTTTGGTACAAAAATAATTTTTTTTTGTGTTGTCTTATATAAATATATAAAGTTCTTACGCTTAGGAATACTAAAAAATCAGTGTAGAAACACGTTGTATTTGAAAAGTTGGATACTACAGAAAAAAGTCAAACCCCATCCGATACGAAGAACCTAAAATCTACAAGAACAATCGATCTGATCGCTGACCTTTTCGGATTTGACCAATTTGATGGTGAAGGGCCCGAACGTCTTCTGCGGTTCCAGGGTAGTCGGAAAGTACTGAGCGCACTTTTCCCTTCTGCCCTCCGAGTAGTTGCAAAGCATGAGAATCGCCTCGACGTGTTCTTGCACGATCATTCTTTAAAAGGTTGTCAGAATTTAATAGACTAATTCAAGTATCTAATAACCATTATTAGGTCTATGAGTTACCTCCAGTGATCGACCTGCGTAGCATTAGTCGGTGCCTGGCAGCAGATGAAACGTTTATCGCTCTTTGGCGTCGCCACAAAGTTTGCATGGATGTAGTCGTTGTCGCAGTCCCTGAGCACGACCCGGTACTCATCAAGACATGGCACGTCTTTGTATCGGTTCTTCGGCATGTTCTTCAAGAAGACCGTCGTCTTATCCCTGCTCACTGTTCTGAAAAGGCGCTTTCCATAGGGTTTTTAGTAAAAATTAACGGTATTTCGCGGAAACAAAATTTAAGGAGAAAATCTGTCGTTTTTGTCGAAGAATCGATATTTTTCGTATTAATCAAAAAAATCGATCGTTTTTAAGTTTAGGGAATAGTAAAACCAGCTTAGGAACACTTTTCTATTCATTTTGAAAAATAGATACCAAAGAAAACAGTAAACTTCTATACCGTTTGTTGGCCATAAACTCAGCCCGCAATTCCTTCAGCCCTTTCTTCAACGTGCGGTCGATAAAACAGCTGACGAGGGTCGCATTATCTTGGAGGGCCGACATCGGGGAGACGCTCTGCGTGCGGAGCATCAGCGTCGCCTGGGCGGTAGACGGCACCTTACGCGTCGGCTTCGGCTTGGGCTTGTCTTTCGGCTTCTCGTCTTTCTTTTTCTTCTTGTCCTTCAAATAGAACTTTTATAACTAAAGAAAGGTTTTTTGAACGAGATCTCGTAGTGATCATTTTGGGACAAAAATTTTTCCACCACTGGTCCCGGTTGTGCTACAGGGATGTAAAGTATAACAAAATACTCGCCAAACAAAGGCGAACATTTTGGTATACTTGACAACTCGTTGGCATAACGGGCAGCTGAGATACAAATGTTAGAACCAGTATACTTTTGAGCTCGCTAGCACAAAGCGGGGCCGAGATACAAAAGTTGGTGCCGGCTGGGGGGTTTCTAGACTCTTACCGTTATCTGGAGCTTAGCCAACAATTTGAATGTCTTTCTCTAATTCGTAATTTTTTAGTTATTAAAAAAGCGTACCTTTGAATCTTTGGAGTCTTTCGTGTCCTTTTTGTCATTCTTCGACGGCTTCTTCGGCTTCGCGCCGCCCATGGTCGCGACGTCGCCGGCGAGAAGGAGAGAGTTTGCCGAGTGTGCGCATCATACTTTTTGCGCAGCTTAAATACCTTAAATTGCAAGCAAATTGCGGTTCGCTGCCGGATTTATGCAAATTTTCTAAGCAAAAACGTCGAAACGATCTCTTCTAGGTTGCTACGACGCTTTGTGCGCCTTTTCTACGCTATATTTTTACTAACCAGGCTAAGGATTCTTCAGATACTGCCAATCACTACCTGACCGCCTATGCACAGAGAAATTACTCCAAAAATGAACGTACGTACAGGCCCCAAAAAGACGCTCACGTAGCACGTGTCTGGCTATTACGTATACACCTATTTACGCTACGTATAGACCTATTTACGCTCTGTGTACACCAATTTACGCTACGTATGTACCTATTTACCCTAGGTTTACACCGATTCACGCTGACGCTGATGTTCATGGGTGTGTAGCGTCAAACCTCTGAACACTTTATAAAAATTAGTTTAAAAATTAAAACTATAACAATTAAGTTAATTAGACTCTGCTCTGTTTTTCTGCAAATCATTTGTTTTCCGTCTGGCGCCTTCCAATAGCTCTCTGGACCACTTGTTGCCGCCTCGACCACCCCTTTTGCCACCCAAGCCCTCCCCCCTGCCACGGTCTCTTTCTCTAAACCTGGGGCCATCTAGGGATCTATACCTTTCAACCCCCCAAATTTGCTATTTCCACGTCTTCCTAGCTTATGGATTTTAATGTAAGCTACCCAAGGCTCGATAAGGGTCTTACTTTCGAAAGTTTTCGCAATTCCGCTTTAGCAAAACTTATCTAACGCTCCGAAAGGCAATTGGCAAATGTCGCATGGTTCTATTTTCTTAATTAAACCGTACGGGATAATAAACAGTCGGTTAATGTTCGTAATAATATTTTGTAAATAGTAAAATAGGGTATCAGAGCATACTATGGGTAAGAAAATGTATTTTGATCCATTTCTACAAGCCGACGAATCGAAAAAGTATGCTATGATACCTCAATGACTCACTACTATGTAATATTACATAGTTTATGATAATGATGTCTATTTTTATGATTAGTAATGTTTATTTAACCGTGCGACATTTGCTAATTTCCCTCTCCTACAATCACCGATTATCTAATTTTTAGAAAAACATCGAATCCATGAGAAATGATCAAAAAGGAAGAAGAGCCAGAACAACGCGATCATTCAATTGTCAATGTGCCCCTCGACCGACAGACCATTGTACATATTCGACGTATCAAGCCTCTTGATTTGGAAGCTAAAACCGGTAGGCCTATCATTTTTGAAAATAATCTTATTTCTCATCAGATGACGCCCGATTAAAGCATCTTCTCGAAAAATTGATCTCGGTTTATGAAACGCGATGGCGATCAGACGAGATTCAGGAGGTTGGTACTTTCTGGAATTAAAAAACCACCTGATTTAGTCTCTGATCTTGAATGCTTGTCAACAGGTCAGGCTGCATGGTCTTTCCCTCGATATCAAATGGGTTAACTTTTAGTTGGGAACTTTTCTTTTTGTTTACTCCAATTTTAGTAATGAATGGAACGACTCTCCCGACGGCCACTTTTACGCGTACGGGCGCAATAAGAAGATGAACATCCGGAAAATGTGAGTGTTTAGACGTTTTACTGGAACCGTGATTACTTTCTAGGCTCGAATCGGCGGCGAAGCATGAGAACGATCTGGCCGCCTATCGTGCATATCTAGAGGGCTTCAAGTACGACCGGGGTTACTTGAGAGAGTACGTTGTCCAACTTTGAAGATTATTTTCGGTACTGGGCTGTTAGCAGGGGGTTCTAGTTTTTCCCAGGAGTCCTGTAAGGTCCTAAAAAACCAAATATAAAACATTTTACCCGATTTTACGCAGTTTTAAGATATAAAAAGCTCATATAACAGATATAAAGTTTAACTTTTCGTCAAAAAATGTTGAGAAATCATGATTGTCGAATTTTTAAAAGGTTTAAAATTCTTGTAACTTTCTTTGCAATGAAAATCTACGAAAACCATGATAAAATACCCAATTTTTGATTGGATAGGTATGGCACATCGTCCGCAAAACAAAAAAGACCTACCTGACGGTCATGATTTTTCGCTTCCAGCATGG